CCTCCTGCGTCAAGCGCCCGTGAACGTACCCAGCCACTGGAGCTGGATGGTGTGCTTCTGTCTTTGCTAGCAAATGCCCTGTGAGCCTGCTGTTGCCCATTGTCTCTCCCTGCCACCCTTTCTGCCTATTGAATAGGATTAGAAGTTGGTGAATAAAAATATTAGAAAATTGGTTCCTTGCAGATCTGAGTATTGCCACCCCATCCTTTGTCTCCCCACCATACTGTACTGAGTCAGCACCCATTGTGGGAGTTGGATGATGGTGCAAGTGAAGAATCCCCTACACCTGCTTCCTGACAAAACCTGTTCCATTCAGAACTGAGGGCATTTGATTTCCTTAGTCTTAAAACTGCTCCTTTTAAAAACTTCCCTTACACTGCTCAGTGAAAAATTAGTTCCTTCTCCCCTTTTCTCTCTTCACTCCTCCAGCAACATTTCTGAGATGCAAAAATTCATTGTGTTTTGCTTGAAACTGCAAACTAAAACCTGCAGCTCCAGATAGCATTTAATGTGCTTAGCTGCGTTTTCCTAACTAGAGAGAGGTTTTTTTTGGTAGTGAAATTTCACTACAGCTCTTGGTTATGACAGTACATCATCTCATAACTGACACATACTTAGAACCTTTTATCCAAAGATCCCCAAAGCACTCAATGAACTTGGCAAACTGATCACAAATTGTGTATGTTCAGAAATATGCGACTTCACCAGCCACTGAAATGCAGCCACTGCTGGGATGGAAAGTGCTATGTGTTGGACAGAGCAAGAGTTCGGGAATAGCACACCAGTTAGCATTACAGGGTGCTTTAAGTAGGAAGAATGTAATTACTCAGTTGAAATTTAGCCTGAACGCTGAAATTATGCTGTGGGAAGTTCATTTGTCTCTGTGGAGTGGACTGTATCCATGACATCATCTCTTTATTCTCAAAATTCCAAACTGGAAAATTTGTGAGTGAATGATTTACTGTATATACTTGATCATAAGCCAGTTCGTTTATAAGCCAACTCTCCCCCCCCCACCCCCTCCAAGATGGATAAGTAAAAATGGAAAATAATTCAGGGGTCGGCAAACTTTGGCTCCCGGGCCATCGGGATAAGCTGCTGGTGGACTGAGATGGTTTGTTTACCTCGAGTGTCCGCAGGCATGGAGGTAAACCTAAGTAAACAAAGTGTCCTGGCACGCCTGCTTACCCTGATGGGCTGGGACAGCAACTGGTGGGAAAAATTTTTGGGGGAGAGAAACTGGGGGTCAGGGGAGTAACCCCTGTGACCACCCCCCACATGACCCCACCCCTAGCCCGGGTCCCCCACACTCTCCCCATCCCATCCCTTCCCAACTTATCTGGGGAGGGCCAGGGGAGGATGTCTGTGGCCTGGCTGGAGCTGCTCTGGCAGGCTGGGCAGCGCGGCCGCAACCTGCTCTGATAGGCCAGACCGGGTGGTGCGGCCACAGCATGTTCCAGTGGGCTGGGCTGGGCGGTGGGGTCACAGTGTGCTCCGGCGGGCCGGGTGGCGCGACCACAGCCTGCTCTGGGTGGGGCGGGGCTGAGTAGCATG